CACTAAAGGACTGGATGGAGTACTTGGAGAGGGCGCTGGGCTGGAATTTTGAATATGTAGTTGGGTATGCCATCTCCACCAACAAAGGAAGCAGGCTCACCATCTGCAGATGGAAGAGGGAAGGTAAAGCAGGGAATAGTTCAGAGGGTCTAGCAGCTGGACTTTATTTAAGGGTCAAAGAGGGAACAGAAATTGCTCTGAAGACCAAAAAATCTCTTTGAAACTCAGATCATATCAGTGTCAGGAGTGCAAGTCTCACAAGAATGTTTCATTTTTTTCCCATAGCACCGTCTGTACTGACTTTTGTATATAACTGACAATGAATTACTGTAAGCATTTAAATTGTTGCATAAATGCTCTTTTATTATTTGTCCTTGGCTTGTACATCAGCTTTGACTTAGACAAATGGAATTTACATTAAAACAAAAAGAGATCTGTAGTTGATCCAAGCATAATTATCTTGCTCATTTTGAGAAAAGTTCCCAAAAGAAATTGTGGCTTTAGACGATGATTGATGTAATTTTCTGTAGTTCACTGTCAGCATGACAAAAATGAATATTGATGCAGGGGGGATTTATAAATGAAAGACTTAAATCCTGCTTTTATTGCTCATACTGGCTCACACAGGCCCAGCTTGACTTGGTGTAACAGTTTCAGTGTGTGATTGAGGAAACCCAAATCCCACTTTGCACCATACTGTAGAAGTATTTGAAGTTGTTTTCTTTCAAGGCCTGCATCTTGTGTCTGGCCAGCACGAGCTGGGGGTGCTATCCTACTCATCAGTACCAAGGCCCTGAAAGACTGTAGAGCTTCCAGAAACCTGCTCACTCCCCCTTGCAAAATGTGGATCAAATTAACCCAGCAGCAGCAGCAGCAGTGTTCTCCGTTGATAATCAATTGACTCTCCAAGTCCTAAAAACAGACACTTTTCTTTATTCTGTGAGCCAGGCAGGAACTGTGTTATCTGCTCCATGTTGTGTGCTGCTGTTTGTTTGACTCTGTCAGATTTCTAATAACACAAAAATGGCTTTTTCCAGACAACACAGCATTTTAGGGCAATTACCAGCAGGTGTGCTGGGTTTAAAAAAGCAAACAATGCAACATTAACACTCTTGTCACATAACTGCGCTGAGGATTTGTTTATCATTTGCTCCATTTGCAGTTCTAGTCAGGTGAGCTACTACTTCAGGATCAGAATCAGCTTTATCGGTCAGGTGTATTGAACACATGAGGGATTTCACTTCGGCACAGTGGCTCTCAGTGAACCTGTGACCTCTGTGAAGCTCAGGAGTAGGCATGTGCATCAGTCTTTACACAGTGTAGCACCCGTTACTTGCTCTTCCACAGCAAAGACCATGTTGGCTGGCCTGATTTCCTTAATCTGGTTTGTTTTTTGGGTTGTGTATGTGCGTGTGTGTTCTCCTACATTTCTACTGTAGTTTGTTGGCATATTACTCAGAAATACATCTTTGATAAACAAAACAACAAACTTAATCAAACAGTTCTCCTGACCAGTTGAGCTGCAGAAGATGGGCAATCCAGTATGTACAAGCCAGTGTGTGTGTGTGACCACTAATGATCTTGACAGGTTTGTATGTGAGGAATGACATAAAAGCTATGCCTTTAACCACGTCTTGACAGAAACATGATATGTTTGGAACGTACAGAGCACAAGAATGGTAGCGGAGAGGTAGATTATTCTGCAGAAGTTATTTAAAATCTAGATTTGTGTTTCCACTGTAAAAGCTGGTTACTATTGGGGTGCATTGTAACCAAGGAGAATACAAGCTGACCAGAACCATTGTGTTCTGCCAGGGGCAATACTAGTTTATAGCCAGTTTTCAAACTCACAGGGAATTACTTTTTAATGCTTAAAAAAAAAAGACTTTAACATTCATAGAGTTAATTTAACTACAGCAGCTGAGGCTGTGTGGAAACTGACTAATTTCAGGGCCCAAATCTGGCCCCTTCACATTGGTAGCTCTGCAGACAGGCAGCCATATAGACTGGCTGCCTGTTTTATAATGGCCATGAGGTTTTAACAACTTATTTCAAACGGAGTCAAAATGACCTATATTCTTTTAATTTTGATTTGTGTTAGAGATAAAGATGAAAACAGGACACCTTCACAATCTGGATCACCACTGCTGACCTCCTTTGTGCATCCATGTAGGTTTTTGGGTCAGACATGCTTAAAAAGGAAAAGAAAGTAGGACATCATTTTGGTAAGTTTGTTTTATACGTGTCCCTAATTTAAGAAGAGAAGAGATGAGGTATTTGTGGTTCTGTATGAGTCTAACCTCTGGAACTTTCTAGTCTAATTCCAACACTAAATCAAGCCAGAAATAACTTCTACAAGTGAACAGCTTCATAATCAGAAGGTAATCCAAAAGTTTGAATTCTGGAAATACATTAAATGAAATTATCTACAGTAGTAGTATGTGAGAAACATCAGTCTTGGCATATTGACATTCTCTTTTGAGGTAATGTTTGTAATCAGTATTGACTCCCGTGATACTCATTTATACATTATTATTGAAATGAATGAAATAAATAAATGAAATAAATGAAATGTCCTAGTTAGTTTCTTGTGACTTGACTGTTTTACTTATATAAAGCAGTCTATAAATTCCAGAATAAAATGACAACACAGCGCAAAAACCACAATGTTTACATTTCAGAATCCATTTATTGGAACTGATACAGTACTACAGAGGCATTGTGTTGAATAGAAGTACACCTGAATGGAAAAATTAAGACACTTTACAGGATTTGAGGAACTTCTTGATTTGTTATTCTTAAGAATACACACCTGGACACTGCCTTCACAATGAGATGATGCCACTCTATCTTAAATGAACATATATGATATTTTTGTATGTGCAGTACATCCTGAACACAACACACAGCCCAAAGCAGGCCAAAGCATGAACATGGAGTACTTTGATAACAAATTAAATGGCTTGATCACCAATAAATACAAGTATAAAAAAACACTGCTAATAATTTTCATTATCAAAAGAAAAAGTTCATAAAATATGCCGAAGGCACACAACTTAATCCACCTTGGCAGTCCAGGATCATCAACAGACAAAACAATAAAACCAAAACTGTGGCAATAGTCGACCATAGTAATAAGCCTTAACAAAAATAATACTTAAATAACATAATAATACTAATTTATTATTATTGTCATAACAATATCCAGTCAAGTTTTCCTATGATTAAACTTTACGCTAACTAACAGATATGCACCAGTTATTTCCAGTTTGGCAGCATTTATGTTTCATCATCAGATTCTGCTTTATTTTCATTTTGTCCCGATGTTTTAGCATTTTGGACCATTTGCACCTCCATGGTGGATGTGGAGGTGAAAATACACATTTTCTGGGGTCAGCTGTTGATATATTAGCACATATCCTTGTATTTTTGCCACTGGGAGCTTGTTAAACAGCTTGTCACACCCACTGAGGTGCCAAAATGGGAAAAATTTTATTTTAGTTCAGATTTGTCTGTTTTTAGAGACAATTTTTAATACTTCAAGGAAGGAAGTATTTTTCTGCCAAGACATAAAGCAATATAAAGTTTCTTATATTTTGGAAAATCAAAAACAGAAGCATAATAAAACAAAATACTAACATAGTATAATTTTCTCACTGTAAATCCAGTTGACAACAAATGCAATACAAAAGGCAATGAAATGCAATATAATATGCAACGGGTCTTTTGTTTGAATCAATACCCAGGACCTTTCCTTCACACAAGCAGACCAGTGAAAACATTCAACATGTGACCTTTGTCCTAGAGGTCAGCTACTGCATGTTTTTGCCATCCACATCATTTGATATTTTGCATGATGCCGGTCACCCATCTCCCATTTTTTCCTACTGTTGAAAAGAGTCACACAATTCTTCTCCAGTACATATTTTGATAAACTTGCATTGAAGCACGTGTACTGGTCTGCACTGCGTGTGCACTCTCAAAAGAAAGAAATTGCTGTTGAAATGTATTACATGCTTTCTAAGACCATACAGAAATAGTTGCACACACTAACCCTCAAGACTAGCTGTATCAACAGCCTCCAGCATCTAATAAAAAACTCAAAAAAGAAAAATAAAGCAAACATGAGGTAAAGCCAATGGGGATCATTTCATTCACCTGTGAGGATTCCCAAGTCAAAGAAAATTCCCAAAGGTTCTCAAGCCATTCCCCTAAATTATGGCAAAGCTTCATCACATCTTTGGTATATCACAAAAACTTCTGATCTACACTTTCTACTCACCTTCTTTACTTTCACTACCCTACATTACAAATCCTTCAAAAAAACATAAGTCTAACCCTTCGACCTTTCCTCTGTTTAACAGGAAAGTCCTCCCTAATCTTAGCAAAGCTCCATGCGTCACTCTTTCACACTCTTTTCTTCTCCCTCTAGCTCTAAATCTCTACGCGCTGCCTCTCTCTTACTCAAACATGAAAACAATAGCTGGCTAATTGTGCTTGGCTGACATAATGAACTAGAGATCTCTAGCACCAAACCGTCTCTGGTCTTTGTCTGAGGAGCTTGCTGTGTCATCAGCAGCCTAATACAAAGACCACCTTAGTTAGGTCTTATTCAGCGCTTTGGGTATAATATTAACTTGTCTGACAATGGAAAGGACCTTGCATATCTTTCCAAAGAAATAAAATAAAATAAAAAATAGAGAAAGAAAGAAAAAATTGAATCGCTCCCTAAACAGCTTGTTTTATCAGGTAGCCTTGAAAATGTGAAACAACCAAGGTTAAGAGAGCCAGGCACATTCCAGGACTATGAGATGGTGTCTACGCCATCTCCCTTCACTAAATGTCCCACTAGGTGAGTCCCTCCAGACCTCTGGTGCCGCCAGCAAATCTGTGTTCACCCAAGCCACCTAAGCTGCTGACAAACCAAACTATGGGCTTAAACACTGACAAAGAACACAGAGGAGGTCTCCCGGAGGCTGCATATCTGTGTGTGATTCTACTTGTGGAAGGAATGGGAGGAGGAGACAAGACTGTTTGATGTCAACTGTCTCAGACTGACCTCTGAACCTCAACCGAAGCAAAGCTAGTCAGCTGTGCACTGGAGGCCCTGGGTCTCTCCACATTCACAAACATAAAAAAAGCACAACTGGTGTATGGTTGGCCTGACTTTTCCCTCCACTTTAAGGAAATGACATACATAATTTGTATTATGAATCAAAAAAGGCACTTCCTACATATTCCCTAGTATCATACACATATATAGGAGATATGCTTTTATGAAGCTAATTGCCTGCATGTTTTACATGTGCAGACATAGTTATATACACTGAGTATGTACGTTTCTCATTAATGAGTAACATAATTATATATGTCAGTTCCGGACAAAGATTTGGAAACAAGAAGCTTTGGGCTCTTCCAGTAACAGCCAGCACCCACCAGTTTTGCACTTAACATTAAAAGCTACAACAATTATTAATAAATAATCAGCAATGTCAGTTATTTTTTTTGGAAAAAGACCCTGGTTTGTTTTTTTTTAAAGGAAGCAAAAATAACAAACGCATGTGCCCTGTGTGAGTTTTAAGGTGCTTTTGTAAACTCAAACTCAAAATGGGTGGTATACAAGGAGAACCAACCAGTTTCTGGTTGCAGCGTTTGTGATTCTTACTTGCCTTCTTGCTGAATATGTAAACATGTTGAACACAGCAAAGTCTATGGTTGGGCCCAGAAAGCAGACTGGGTGGCATTCTCTAGTGCCAGCTCATCCTCTCTCCTGCTCAACAAACCCTATCTTAATTTCCTCTGGCCAGACAAGTGCACGTGTGTGTGTGTGTGTATGTGTATGTGTACAGACATTATTTCCATTAAGATTTCAGGCTCATTTGAAAAGCCACAAATTCCGTAAAGGTGTATCCCAGTAACACACTGGTCGTTAATGTCACACATATACATCTGCACATACACACACACACACACACACACACAGTCATGTTTAATTCCCGCTGCTCTTCTCTATCTACCACCCCACTGTGTTAGGTGAGTTTGCTGCTGATGTCCAGGGCTTGCTGGTACACCTGAGTCATGTCCTCCAGGTCTCCCAGCAAGGAGAAGCTGCCATTGTCCCCCGGGGAGCCTTTCATTTTGGTGCCACGGCTGAACTTGGGTCCCTGGAGAGGTGGGGCTGCCTGGAAACCCTTGAAGTTGGCTAGCTGCAGCAGGTTTTCAGCCGAGACACAGGCCCTGATATTTGGGCGGAGATGGGTAGATGGATGCCACTCAGCCCCGCTGAGGGAGCTGGGCGACAGGGACAGGACGGAGCTGTCCTCTCCGACTATGCTGGAGGGCCGACTTTGACTGCGGGACAGACCAGAGTCAGTTGAGGGAGGAGGCTCATTGAGAACTCCAGCTACTCCTGAGGGAGGCCCGCTGTACGTGGAGTATTTGCCATTTCGTTTCAAGATTCCCTTTCTCCCCATTACTCTCTTGGGTGGAGAGGTGGCTAGGAGAGACATACTGGCACCTCCTAATAGCTCAGAGGACTCACTGCGCTCTGGGGAGGAGTAGTACCCAGATTCCCGCTGTTGGTTGTTCTTCAAGATGCCTTTTTTGGGCAGAGAGGGGCCCATCTTAGCTGGCGAGACTCCTCCTAGAGTCGGCTCCTCTTCCTCTCGATCTGGACTTGAGTCCTCCTCTCCCACATTAGCTTGTTGAGGCAGCGCTGCCTGGCCCAACTCCACTTCATCCAAACTGGCAGAGTGCTGCTCCCCAGTAACCCTGGTCTTAAGGATCCCCTTGGGTCTCTTCAAACCCGGCTTGTCCTCTGCTACACAGTGGGTCTGTCCTGCCTCAACATTTTCCTTCTTGGACTTTTTGGGCCTCTGGCGCATCAGCTGGGGCATGGCTGCAGCTTTGGCTCCAGAACCTCGTGGCTCAGTGCGGTTCTGCCAGTCGATGAAGCGGGCCAGCATGGGCGAGCCTCCATGGTCACGTTGGGTCTCGCAGTCACACACACTGTTCTTCCAGCCCCAGTTTACCCACCAGTGATTGGCTATGTCCTCCACTGTGGCCCGGCGCTCAGGGTTCACCATCAGCATCCAGCGGATCAGTCCACGGGCATCTAGCAAGAAACAGAAGAAGAACAGTCTATAAGCTGTCTCTTACTGCACCACTGGACATGCAAATGCTTTCTATCTGATAACAGTATAGCGCACGCTACTACAGAGTGTAATGTTTGGTGTGAGTTTGACACTGCAAGCAAACAAGCTGTCTAAGTTTGACTTATTCATTTCAGAGAATTTTAAAAACAACTGCTACATTTTACACCATTACTAAAAGTATTAGTCACTAAATATTTCATGTAATTATTTTGTTCAGTATAAACCACAATAATGCATCCTCAGTTAAATAACAAAAATAAAATTTTTAATTTGTTCTATTCTTAAAAAAATACTTTATTTTAATTTATTTCATAGTAATCTCACATCTAACCAGTTAGAGAAGTGCTTAATCAAAAAATCATAAAAAGAGTATGATGGTGGGTTTGTAGCTTAGATGATACTGAGCTTCTTCATACTCTCTGGACAAACAAAATGGCAATGAGCATGATACTAAGTAATGGATTGTGCCGATTATGAGATTATGTGTACATTCAGAGCACTTTGATTCATATTCTATTCAGCGGTTTATGTACCAACATCTTAAAGACATTCAAATATTTTCTGGCATTTACCTGAAAAGAGTCACTGACAGTTTTTAGACAGAAAGTTAGGGGGTCTGTGGTTTAAGTTTTGGAAAATTGTGCTCCTAATTGACTCTATCTGTGGTCCAGCCAAACTAAATTTAAGTATAAAATAGTTTATTGTGTTGTTTTATGAAGGGAGGTGGAATTTGTTGTGTTTTCCGAGCAGGACAGAAACAGAGAAATGTAACCTGAGGCAAAGGTTCTTGCAATACCTGAGGACTGAGTAGGCTCTTTGTACTCGCCGTTGCTAATCTGGCGAATGAGGTTCTTGTGGTCTCCCCCATCGAATGGCATAGTCCCATAGATCAGGGTATACAGCAGCACCCCCAGGGCCCAGCTGTCCACCTGGTGATAAACAAACACCTGGTCGTAAAGTAGATCATTCAGTCATGCACAGAACACACGCTGCCCATCTCAAGAGAAGTGTATACTGTATGCAGCAAGCAAATGGGTCACAAAGTTGAGGTGTGATAGATCAGGTGTTATGCAATGAACATTCAGCCTCCCCAACTCTGTTTTGATTAGTGAAAGTTGTGAAATGGGCTCAGCTCTGCTCAATATCAGAGCAGGCCTTGGAGTTATATTCTTGAGTTTATCTTAACATTAATGAGCCCCCCCAATCACCTTGTCACACTAACATCACACAGAAATCTCTCTCTTAAACAGCTGGTGACACTGCAGTACTTCACCAACATGTCTTCAACAGATATGTGTGTGTCGTTCCCCCCCCGCAGGCATAAGCAAGCACTTTCTGCCCAGCATCCTAATGCAATGTAAGTAAGTGGTTACATAAGAGTTCGTGTCTGAGGCATGAGGAGGTACAGAGCCATGGGGGAAGTGGTGGGAGTAGAAGGGTGTAATGAGTCCAGCAGAGATCACACAGACATGATATCCTGGCTCCTGAAGACTTGCTGGAGACTTACTGGAGACTTGCTGCCATTCAGTGATCAGAAGATCAGCTATGTGCGTGCTGTGAGCATGTGACAGTGAGGGAAATCTATTGTGTGTGTGCTGACTATGGTTAGGGGAGGATGAGATGTCCTGACGAATGAGCTTCTGGTGGCGTTAGCTGAAGTTTTGAGGCATACTCTACAGTAGGTCCAGTTAAGAACCTGGTCTACTTCCTCTATAACTGGACCCACATCAAGAATGTTTCTCTCCCCTCTTGCTGTTGGTCCAATAGGATGAGGCAGGGCATGCTCTATTGTTATGTTCTATTTTTGTTTCCTGTTTTTGCTGTAATTTGTGGTCTCACCTCAACTGGGGTTCTGTCATTTCAATTGCAATCAGACTGCTGTAGTTTTTAGCACTCTCGAGTAAATTATAGTGAATTATGCTAAATCGAATGGTTGGACTTGAATAGCTAAAAGGCAACCTTTCCACTTGTGCTGCTTTGTTGTGTGGGACTGATGCAATTGTAGAGACAACGCCCTGAGAAATGACTCTGGAACTGCCAGAGGCATGTTCTCTTCTTTTTTCACCAAAGCTGCTTGACTTTAACCTTGATTGCCATTTCGAGGCCATGATCCCGTTAAGCTGGAGAGAAAGTGAGCAAAAAACTATCCTCCAGTTTCTCACTTCAAAGGACCCAGACTTTGTAGGAAGGGAGGACAGGGGAGAGATGCAGACAGTATTTGAGCTTGCCCACTGTGGAGCTGCAAAGGAGACTCCCATTTGACTGGAGAATAATAGTAATCCCACCAAAGAACCAGGAAACACAGCCTAACCACCACATTGTGTATGGTCTATGTGATGATGGTAATCAATAGTGAGATAATGATGAAGTGAGAGATGATGAAAGCTACATACAGGATGTTCACACCAAATTTAAGACAATAATGATGATGGATACATAAAACAACATCAAACCCTTGAAATCAAGCTCACACACAAACACCTGAGCCTCACCTCTGGGCCACGATATGGTCTTCCATTGACGATCTCTGGTGAAGCGTATAGCGGGCTGCCACAGAAGGTTTGCAGAAGCTTGTCTTTATGGAAGAGGTTGGACAGCCCAAAGTCAGCAATCTGTAGAAACAGGAGCATGCATGATTTTTACACTAGCCCTGTGATTGTTAATCCCTCATACAAAGATCATGAGGTAAGGTGTTTTTGTCTGATGGGTAATGCATCACAGCTCAAGGGGAAAACTTACCTTAATATTACAGTTTTCATCCAGTAGCACATTTTCCAGTTTCAGATCCCTGTGCACAACTCCATTCTGAAAAGATGATGAGAAAAAACAAAGTAATGACTGATGTATCTATCACTGCATTATTCATGAGAGATGGATCCCAGTAATAAACAGTCCTTTGTGTTAAGCAATGATTTACACTGACAAAACTAGCTTGTGGCTCTCGGGGGAAATCAAGGCAGGCTGTTGGTCTAGTACTCTTTAATTGGTCTTGTCCCTTCTGGGTTATTGATGCTGACATCTGCTGTGAATTTCTTTTTTTATATTGACTCACATGTGTCATATAAACACAATCCTATAATTACCGCCCTGTATGAATGGTGTTCTCACATCATCTTTGGATTAAAAAAACAAGTATGCTGTTAATGCCTGGGTTTAAAAAAAACAAACAAACTAGTACATAACATGTGGCATGCAGAGAGACAAAACCTAACTCAGATGTGGAGGAGTGACTTCACCTACACTCCCCCCAAGGGCTGTGCTCTCCCATTGGTTATTGCAGTGCAAGGACTTCATATTTACGTCACCCTGATTGGTGGATACAAAGAAGGAATGGTTGCTTATTATATCAATGACTCACACCACCCCCCACCCGGCAGGAGGTTGTGCATGGTAGTGATGATTCATCATTCATGGCTGTCGGGGACTCTCCTATCTGAGATGCATGACATCATTTTTATCTCCAACAAGAGAGGAGTCCATCTAAACAAGCCCTGGGACCTTTGGCTTGTAATGGGAGTTAGTGGGGTGTGGAACAGGGGTTGACATGGGTGTGGCTGGAGCTTAGTATCTGGAGAAAAGCTTTGGGGGTATAATGGGACATCCATCAGTATATCAACAGATGAGGCCAGAATTAATACAGGCCCTGTTTGGTGCATGAAGTGTAAGCCTGAATTAAACTGGCCTGTGTTCCATCTTCACTCAGAAACAGATGACTCCCTAACACCAGCAAGCCAAGAAAAGCATACTGTGTAGGGCCTACAGATTAACTGGCTATACAGTATGGCTGACTGTGGAGGCGCATGGTTAATGTTACAATAAGCCTGGAAAACAAAGTCTGGATGTGTGTGAGAGAGGCAAAGAAAGATTTAAGGTGATCAGAAAATGTGCTTGTTTTCCACTATGTACAGTACAGTATGGTTTTTCTCACCTTATGGCAATGGTGCACAGCAGAGACTATCTGTCTGAAGAAGTGTCGCGTCTCTCGCTCACTCAGGCGCCGCCGCTCGCTGATGTAGTCATACAGCTCACCCTTGCTGGCATACTCCATCACAATCACGATCTTGTCTTTGTTCTCAAACACTGAGAAATCATTTTTAAAAAACAATTGGAGTTTGTTAATATCTACTATTGAAAGCAAAGGAGAAAGAAGCACATCGTATAAACTCATTCCAGGTTCATTCTATCATGTTAAAATCCCAAATGGACACTGCTATGTAAAATGCAGAATAAAACAGATCAGCCCCTTTATTTCTTAAACAAGAATCCAAATTTCAAAGGACACATAACATCTCTACATTTGTCCCTGGGTTACATCCCTCAAACTCCACTTTGTGCGTCTGGCCCCTTCACAACAGTCCAGGGAGGGACTGTTCAGCCCACTCCTCAGAGACCAGAGTGACAGGAGAGCATGAAAACAGAAAGAAAGCAGGAAAAAGTCTGTAGAGGCAAACAGTCAGCTTCACAGACAGATGGTTCACTATAGCATCAACACATCACACTTTAACTGTGTGTCATTGTGTTACCACATATCACAGCACAATCCCACACTCCTAACCGCTATATTATGCATCCATCTGATTAGAAACTATCGCATACACTAAATTATTGTGGTCCCATGGTGGAACTTCCCCTTCTTGTAGCAGAGTTTGGCTCCTTATTAGTCAGTAATTCATGACTGAACATGGGTAAGAGCATCCTCTTTCTATTTTAGATGATCACTAAAACTCAAATGTCTCATGTATTTCTGTGTGAGAATGACAATGAAAACCAATAAATTAAAATGGTGACATGTTGCATCTGGTGAATGGAGAAAGCATTATTACAACTGTATTACTGTAATACATTAATCCAACTGCAATTCAAACATATCATTTTGAGTCAGTATTTAGTCTTCTAGCATATAATTTCAACTTGGCAACCTACGTCTCTCCCAGTGCCTTGGCATGAAGGGAATGAAAATGGTTAGGCACAGAGAGAAAAAGAACAAGGGAATATTGAGGAGATGACAACAACACAGTCAGCCATGTTGCTCCATATTGTGTGGGTCGATTTTCTCACACAGCAGGGTCACTGGGGCTGAGGGCCTCTGCTTTCTGCACCCTTGATGGAGCACCTTCATTGTTTGTCACACTATTTTCCTCACTACCCCCTTCTAAGGGTCCTTTTAAAGATATAATCCTCTACAAAAACACATAGTTGCTGAGTGATGGTAATGCTCCCTTATTGTGACTGGCTGGCTTCTTGGGAAGTAACAGACAGGATGTAAGCCAAGCACCCAGGGGTGCAGAGTTGATCCAGCCTTCTGATTGTTGGACAGAGTGGTGACCTGGGGTGACATTCTCGGTTATCCGTGGTGGGGTTGTGCTTTGAGAGCCAATTCTCAGCTTGCACTCCCATTTACCTTTGAACCCTGTTGTGGAAATAATTACCTGGCTTACATAACTTGGGTTTGTTACAGCTTGTTGGGTACACCACCACTACAGCCTCAATGTCACTTACTGGGCTTTGTTCACATATCAGGCCCTCACATCTGACTAATTAGCACTTATTGTCCTATTGCCTGCACTGATAATAGAGGAAGCAGATGTAAGAAGCAGAGTGTAATACATAAGAGTGGTGGAATACTGCAGAGTACACACAATAAACAAGCAAACATTTATTACTGTGAAGTTTCAAGATTTAAGTATTTTAATACAGCTTTTCCCCTCATTTTATATTATTTAGTAGATTTATCTACAATTTAGGCATATGTTACCTTTACAGAATGCAGTATAATGAAAACAATAAGAACTGTGGCTCCTCATTCATGAATGGTTTTATATCTGTTTTTCTAATGTTATGTCCTCCTCAGTTCCCTTTGTGCTCCTGAATGCTAATGCTAAAAGTTACATGAGAAGGTTAATATAACTCTAGAAAGTCACAAAGTTCACTTGAGCTAACCAGCTGCTGGAGTCATATGTACTATGAAGACAAGAGCGCTATCTGTCTTTCCATCTAACTTTAAAAAGACGCCAAACTATAACTTTAACTTGTGTCAGCCTTGTCAGACTTCATTCTCTTGAAGAATCTATTTCTACATACACCAACCTGCTAGTGACATTTATTTGGATGTATCAATTTGTGCATTTACAGCATCCTTTGGGTTTTGTCAGTTGTACATAGTTATGCCTGGGGAGGAAAGATTCACTTTTCAATACCCCACACAACATGCTGATGGATGCAGAATGTGAGGGAGTGGTAAAAATCAATCGCCACACACACATCTGGTTCAGCTTTGATTCACACAAGGTAGTTAGCAGGGGCTGTAGAAGAGGGTGTTGCCGGATACGCAAGTCAGGGGGCCTCCTATATACCTCTAAAGCAAGGCTGGGTGGAGGCCAGGCCACAACAGTAAATGCTGTGTTTGAGGAGAAACACCAAAGAGTGAGAGCAATGAGTCTGGTTGAGCTTTTTGGTGGAGTAGGCTGCTTATGAAGACGGCAATACATGTTGAAACCCCAGACAGGCTTCTCAAAGTTTTGTAAAACAAAACACACAAACTCAGCTGCACTTCAACCCTTCAACTGACTCTTGGCATGTTCCCATGACAAATAGTGATGTTTACTGCATACACACACCGCTGTTAATGACCTGGGGACTCTGAAACTGAACAAAGGACAGTGGGTAAGCCAGTTTGGGAAAATGGCACACAATTGGCTGCCATTGTGCCAGGGCAACGATACTCAAAAGGGCACTGAAACATTTTTTTGATATGAGAATAAAAGACTACATTATAAGAAAGGATTAATTGCAAGCAATATGCTTAAATAATTCAATGGGAACTGTTCAACCCTTACAGTCACCATTAATTTTAATCTATGTTTTCTTCCAGTAACATTAAGGTCATTCACATGGGCTCAAATCAAAAAAGGAGGTCCCAAAAAGTAAATATGTGTGTCTAAGACTCATTTGAAGGCTTTGCTATTTAGACAGTGGCTTCCTGAGGTTGATATATGTTGACATTGCTCAAGGGAGGGCTTAAGGCCTTTCCTTCCTCAGCAAAGCACTGGACCGTTGTCAGACGGGGTGCAGGCCTGGGTGGCTGGGGTCAGTCTAGTGTTTCTCTAGCTATGCGCACACAACTGTGCGCACATGCTCATGCATAGACACAAATATACAAGAACCTGTGCAGGCACACATATGTGAAGCACCAACATATGCACAAATACTTTCTAGTTCCCAGCTGAAGTTGTCTCTAAGTATCAGCAGATGTCTGGCCCTGACATCAAGACCAGAGAAGACAAGAGATGAGAGGGAGGGAATCCCTTAGAATACCACAGTTCTTATATACATAAACGTTCAATACTCACATGCACACACATACACATTTAAAGAGATCTATAATTTTACTGTACCAGGAGGTCAGACAGACCAGAGAAGATGAATAACATCCCAGAGCTGTACTGCAGGCTTTATTATAAAATCTGAATGCCATAACATGACCATCCTGCAGCTTGGCAGAAAGTACTGAATAAGCTGAGGGAGGGGTGAATTTTGCACGTGTGCTTTTGTTGATGCATGCTCAAGCCAAATGAATTTGTCTTGACATTTGACCCTCACCTTCATATATAGAGATGATGTGTGGGTGGCGAAGAGATGACATGATTTCAATTTCTCGGCGGATGTGAACCATGTCCTGCTCATCCTTGATTTTCTCTTTCCGAATAGACTTGATAGCTACCTGGAAACAGAAGAAGACATTTTGATCAGATGACTTAAAGCGACATACAATTTTAGATTTCAAAGTACTAAAGTTTTATGGAGGAATCATGAGGATGAGGAAGTGATTCAGTCGACTTTCCTTGCCAACAGGGCTGCTGCAGGAGATTCAACAGCTACACTTGATTTGATAATTTTTCACTGTCATAGCAATGCCACCGGGGTAAGAGTCAACAGCCACTGGATGCAATCAAACCTCTAGCCTATGCACTCCTTAAATAAGTGGTTAGCAGCCTTCTCCAAATAAACCAATTGAGAGTGCAGAGTCTAGCACATGTCACTATAATTGTAGCCTAAACATTCTAGATTGAATCCTGGGTTTGCTTTGATCAGGTCTGTATAGAGTCTGTTCCGTCCGAATTCTGTTAGTTTAAACTTTTGTCCGCTCTTAGTTAAGCTGCAGTATTCTGAGGAGCCAGCTTTATTCCATGCAGCAGAAACCACAGGCAGTAGCGAGTGCCAAGCTAATTACTGTGTACATCAATAAAAATAACCTCAAACCGGAACAAACCATTCCCATCCAGAGCATGCCTTCATTATACAGTTTAAATAAATTATACTATAATAGAGAAGCCAGGGTCCAGGGGGTCCACATGCTGTGTTCACAAATGCCAAAAGCTGTTTGTGTCTTAACACTGACGTTTTCCTTTACTTCATCAGAATCATCAACATTTTATCACTGATCCCCAAAACCTCAGTAACATTTTGACTTCAGTGTGACTTCAGTGTTTAACAGTGAGGCAGACTATGAGTCATTCTGGATTTAATGTAGGAATCCATTCAGGAATTTATTAATTCAGCCAAAAATTGAGAAATGACCTACAAAAGTTACACAAAAAGGCAAGTAAACAGTCTCACTATGACTGCTGTCAAACCAAAATGTTTGTTTTTCTCTTAAAAAAGCAGTAATCAATCTTTAACAGGAAGGATCTCAATTCCATAGTGTATGCTAACTCGTCGACTGAATCAGCTCTCCCATATCAGCTCTCCCATATCAGGCTTGAGACAAAGCCAGGTATCTGTTGTGTATGTCCTCAAGTTCCCCTGCCCTGACCCTGATGTGGTTCAGTAAACAGGACTGCAGATCGACCACTTTGCCAGCTGGCCAGGCTGACTGACACAGCTACGCTTGTCTGTAAGTGGGCTCCTCACAGTAAACAGGCACTGCACTGCTACACACACTTGCCCCTGCCAGGTATGGGCCCGGCCTCGTCTGGGACCCCCCTTGTTGCACAGAAGAGTTTGTTTGAAGCGAAAGTCAATGTTTTGCTTCACTGGAGCCTGACATCTTTCTGTACTCTCTGGAGCCATTAAAAAGATTAAGTTTTCATCACAAGCTCACCCATCTCTGCGTTTTCTAAAGATCATGATCAACTCTTTTGTTGAATATGTGTCTGAGTCAGCGTTAGGGGGAGAAAGAGAGAGGGAGATTGTGAGTAGGAGGAAGAGGCCTGTCACTTTTCCAGAGAACTATATTCTCAAACACTGCCAAGAATCATAGTACCTCATATACAACAGAGGAATTCCAGTGATTTTCCCTCTTGCTTACCTCCCCAGTGAATCCATTGTTGGAGAATGATGTAATCCGGTGCTTTAAGCTCACATTAGTATGACTCTGTAACCATTTTAACTGAGGCTGTCCCTCTGTTGTTACAGTTGGTAGTGGGCTTCCCTGTGTGTCTGTGCTATCTGACCACCCCCTCCTTTGTGTGGTAGAACCCCTATACAGGATATTAACCTTCCCCTCCAATCTCATTTCCTGCTGTGGATGGTCTTTCATGTGTTACTGCCCAGTTTAGGCCTGCCTGTCACCATAACCTTTTCACTACAGTCATCTAGATGGCATATAATACATTAATACATCTTCTGGAGGCATGCACAAACAAATGAGCTTGTGCATGTGTCACTACAACAATCAGTTCAATATCGCATATTGTTGGGTTTCCAGTGAGATGCCAAGCAGTACAACAAATGGCTTTGTAGATTAAAGCAGTCACTCAATTCCATTTTAGCTGACAAAATGAAACAGCCCACATCTAGTCAATCTTAATCAAATGCTTTCAGTTTATTCCACACATGTATATACACACAGTCACAAGCAAAAACTTCCTCAATCTACATCCTCACTGAGTCTTCTCTGTCCTTATTTGGTTTGTGGAACAAACCAGGAAAAGGTACAGGGAGTTGAGACTGCGTAACAGTCTCATCACACTGTTGTATCTGCCATATGGACACAAAGGGATTTCCTCTGGGTCAGAGGTCAAGTAATCTCTAGCAATGTAGTGCCAGATACATGCTCTGTTGACACTCTATCCTGGTTCTCTGAGGATTTCCCTGTGATAAACAAAGTCCCACACGAAACACAGTTATGTAAGGACGTCCTATACTTTACTGACCTGCTATTTTAAGTCTGAATGCTAAGCTTAGGGAAGTACTGCAGTTAAGTGGAGAATGAAAGGCATGAGGTGACTAAGTGTTGACCTACAAAGTAACATTTGTGTGTCTGTATTTTTGGGTATTTGACTAGGAGATGGTTTTTAAACATCAGTATCAACAAATGTAGACATATGAAAAATTCCTTAAAAAGTGTTCAATGCATCATTTATAGAGTTATCTTCAGAAAACTGTATCTCACTGATGTCACAATATGACACTTTCACCTTTCCAAGCAAGTACACTGTGCAATTTTACAGTGGTAGTGAAAGTAAAACTACTTCACATTAGACTTGCTGCCATGGCGATAATGAACAGGAAAACATACTGAAGAAAGGACAAGCTGCAAAGACAGAGTAAGCTCCACTGGAGGGTTTATGGTCCCGCTATCAAGCATCCATTTGCCAGGAGCTATGAACCACCAGGGCAATGTTGACCTATACACTGTAAAAATCCCAACTTGCAATTGTGTTATTCTAACTCTACCATTAATGTTAATGTTGCACTAACTAGTCCCCTCTAAGCTAGTGAAGTTAAAAGGAGCTTATTTGGAGCATGATTTTTTGTTTGAAATTTCAGTTATTAATGGCTTGTAACTGACAATTAATCATGTTAACTATACACTTCATTTAACAAAGGCCTGGCAGTGCTGTAGACATAAATTTATGATTTGTCAGAACTCCAAATTCACACTCAACAAGTATTTTAGTGTACTGTACGCTGGAAAACATGATACAGGTTTTGGTTCATGTTAATTCAACTTAGAATGTCTCATTTTTAATTATCAGACCACTAAACTGATAAGCTGCATTCATGAATTAGTTTTTAAAGAAACAAAATTAGCATACCTCCCAGCATGCATTGCTGAAGAGCCATTTTATGGTGGAAACATTCTCTGTGTTTGTAATATATGTTAAATTAAGTTGTGGTTGTTTTTCTTCATAATAATAACAACAGTGTAAACCATGGTAAAGGTTGGTACTGAATTCAGTCCCTACTTCCTACACTTTCTGCAATATTAAACAAGGTCACTGGAGGCACAATGTGCTTCAAACAGATGCAGCTTTAAGTTCTTCAAGTCAAATGAAGAACTGACAGTTGAAACTGATAAATGTAAAAGGTTACGATATTTGTCTGCAGTGAAGTTACATGTGACCAGACATTTGAGTCAATTTACAATTTCAAGTTCACTCAGCAAAGGTTTGCTATTTTGCAGAATAGCATTTATGATCTGACAAAAGTTAGAATTTAAAATTTGCCAAATTATACAATCTAACTACAACAAACTTATTTAGTTGTGAAAACTTAAAAAGCTGATTGCATTACTTTTCAACTTTTCTCAGCTCTTTCATTTTTACAGTGTACTAAGTTTACCCCAGGTGTTATCAGGACATGGAAAGTTCCTCATGTCCTGCCAGAATGGTCACAGGGGTCAAATTTTGCCACAGGTGGAAATATTTTGAGAGCTGAGCAGGTCTTCCAGGACATAACAGCAGATGGTGGGTTTACTATGGCAAAGTCAGCCAATAACTTTTTCATAAATAAACAGTGGCGGCTGGACCCATGCAAACACAGTCATGTAGTAAAATCCACACAAAGCAGAAAGGAAGTACTGTATGTCTAAAACTGAACTAAAGTGTGAGTGGGCCTTGTTAATGGGCTATCTCTGGGGGACACTTAGCTGCTTTCATGATGCTTATTGAGGTCACACCAGTCAGTCAGTAGCCGGATTCGCACTCTAGTATCCGTTCGTGGGGCCCTGCAGAGGACAAGGCGTGTGCAGCTATAACTCCCTGGCCCCGTGGGTCTTTGTGCGCATGAGGGGAATTCCCAGCGGTTGAAAGACGCGCACACGCGCCTCAGTACAACAATGTGCTCATTTTTAGACCAGTGTTGTGTATAATGGCTACCAAGGGGCGTTACGAAAGCATGCGTGCATCACAAGCACCAGGACCCACTGGAAACATCGTGACAGATGTTTGGGGTAGCCTACCTCTCAAGTGGCTCACCTCTCTGCCGGTTTGCCGCTCGATGGCTTTCTTCACTTTGCCGTAGGTGCCTCTTCCCAGCGTCTCCAGCAACTCGTAGCGGTGTTTCAGGTTATGCTTGTGATGGTGTTTCTTCACGCCCGAGTTTCTCCGTCCATCACCGCTTGCCGGGGTCTCTTCCGAGGAGTTGCCGGCAGGTGAGTGTGGAGCTGGAGGTGGAGGGGAGAGGTCCCCCCCAGCCGTTTTACCCGCTGAGGTTTGGCCCTTGTGGCCCTCCGGTCGGGATGCCCCCCGGTGGGGCGATATATAAATGGTTTCCATCTCACTAGGAAAGTGTTCAAGCAACCTTCCCACTGTTAAATATATCAAACTACACTACCTACTTAGAACAAATCGCTAATAAAATACTTATAGGTCTAATAATAGTAATAATAAATAAATAAATTACAAGGAATAACGGGTAGCCTATTACTCATATTATATATAACACGGGGAAACTAACATTTCCAGATTGTCTTGGCTGATTAACTGGCTTTGATCAAAGTGAACAGAGATTTCTCCTCCTACCTATTCATGTTATTATCGACTATATATATAATCATTCTGTTAACGGAAGCACTAAAGTCAATCAGGTCATCATCGGTTTATAATAACCCGATACATAGTCCAGTATCAGTGGATAGAAATTTGCCTAATTCTAGTGCCAATATTGTAATAAAACGTGTATTCAAATTTCCACAGCAGGCTGCAGGCCTGAAGCTGGTTACACTTTTGATTTAAAGACTGACTATATTCTATGTGCAAACACTATCCCAATAAAAATAAAAAAGACTAAATAATTGGTCTGATCTCCTCACTCCTCAAATGACTGGTACGATCTAGCCGTGGTTAATTCTGTCTCTTTCACATTATCTGTCGCCCTAAACGCTGCCAACATCACCAACTCACATCTAAAAGGCGAGAAAGCTGCGACGAAACCGGCGTTTTGGATGAAGATGACCCTCATTTTGTCCACGGCCCAGGTATAGCTCCTCATTCATCTGGAGTCTGTCTGTTGTGCGACTGCATGCTCCGTGCCGTGGGCGATCGTGGTCGAGGTGCGCTGTGATCGGACACTATCTCAGGCTGAGACGTTTTGGATATTGCCATGGTCGTTCTGCTGCTCCCCCTTTTCTTCTTCGTGTGCCCTTCTTCTTGCTTCTCCCCTTTCTCTATCTTTCCTCAACATGAGAGGTTGTGAATAAGGAATGCGAGAGGATCCGAGGTCGGAGGCGGAGTTAGTTTAGGCTGTCCTCCTCCTTCCCTGTCTTTTCTTTTCCTTTCTGCCTTTGTGCTCTTCCCCTCTCACATCTCTGATATTGACTGGCGCTTATCAGGGGCGTAGCCAGAAATCATGTGCGCAGGCGGTGACCCCCGCCCCCCCGCTTCTTATCCTCATTGTTATCCCAAATACAGAGCGACATATTTATTTACAAATCACAATTACACATCCTTTATCTATAATGATTACACTCAACAATAACATTATGTTTGTTGCTTGTCTGTTTGATAGTTAACCTCCAAAAAACATGCGGGCTGCAGTTTGAAAAAAAAAAAAAAAAACAACAGCTTGACATTCAAAAATGTCTTTTTTGTAAAATGTCTTACTATTTGTAAGGAGAGTCTTGAATGACATCATTTGTATTGCACTTGCACGACCACCTAAAGTTTTTTTGTCTTTAACTTTTATAGTTTGGAAGATGTTAAAAAAACTTAAAAAATGAAAATGAAAATGAAATTTGAAAGATGGTTAGGTGACACGAAATGCAACAAATTGTATATTAGATACAGATCCACATACAAGTCAAGCTTATGATCCTTAAAATGATTTCTTAACATTGCAAGATATGGCATTTTTGAACATTTTTGTTATCATGAGCTACTGCCTGTGCTAAAATGAAAAGAAATGCTGTATATTCCAATAGTCAGTTTCTGTTATCAAAATAACAGAAGCATTGCACAACCTTGGTGAAGGTTCAGTATGTGCTCTCTGACCAGTCTAGATGATTTGGCAATTACATGATAGCGCTAACTGGATTGTTAAAGGCACATTTATAGGGATCTTCAGGGGAAAAGAAAAATCATTGTCCTATGTCCAACAGCAGTTGCTGTGTTATATTTTCAAGAGATGTTACCTGCAGTTTTGTCAGCTTCAACTAAGGGAAAACAACATGAAAGAAAACCTATAAAATATGTCAAATGACTACGTAAGGCATTATGGGTAGCCTGTGTAATGTTGCACAGTACAGTGCTGTGCATTTATTCTAATATGATGAATAACAGACATAAAATAATACTGTCTCTGTTTGCTGTTGCTGTACATTATTCTTGCCAAATTAATTCCTGGTTGCATGTGATTTCCATATTGAAAAAGAATGGAGATTATTCTCAAAACATACATATAAATTCAATTTTTCATTTAGGCATCACTATGCACTACAGGCTACTGTAAACAAAATGTGTTTGATGGGTCATTGATGCATCTAAAACAGATTCATTTTCTCCTGTATTTCTTTAAGGATGTATTGTGTGTACTTAATATTGGGCTACACTGACCTTTCAATACTTTCAGGCATTTTATATTTTAAAGTGTACTAGAATATTTTGATATAGTATTACAGCATGTTTTGGTTGTAAGACTTCTATTTCCAGTAAGAATGAAGAACTAATATATTTTGTGGAGAAACCAAGAATGGGCTAGAGCTTATCTTTGTTCCATCATTTTATTTGACTTCAAGTATATCAAAAAGCATTTTTATGTGACACACTTATTGTTTGCAACCTGGGCAAGGAGCCATTTCTTCTTTAAGTGCCTACAGGCGATAAACTGCTGTGGCCACACTCCTGTCAACCAATCAGCTTGTCTTGACTTGTGTGTTTAAGCTGCTAATTACAGAGTGGAAGTCAAACATTATCTGAATTTGGCAGGGAATCTGTTCTCGCTATGGTCCTCACAATAGCTGGCATAATTTCTGACCATTTGCGGCATTTGTTGTCATTAAACAGGGTGAGTAAATGTCTAGTTATAGCAACACACACTGAGATTATTATCTGAACTTATTCCTCCTTTGCCTCATTTGCACTCAGCAGCAAAGGCTGTACTTTTAGTGTGTAGAAAGAGTGCCATCACTGCCCCCTTGTGGTGAAATTAGGATCATATCCATGTCAGCAGGGACAGAATTGGCACAATCAAATGGTTTTAGCCCTGGCAGTGGCTAATGATATGAAAACATTATCAGCTTTCATTTACACAAGATAGATGAAGCTAAGATAAAATAGAGTGTAAAACAGTTTAATAACTAGATCATCTGATTTGATCAAAAGTCCCAGAATGGACTTTGTGATGAAATCATTTTTAACATCTTTTGAAGTGGTGCATTTCAAGATTGGCCTTGTTGTTATCATTTATCAATACCTTGAACATACTCTGCACTATTAAGCCTTAGCAATTTAAAGAGAAACAGTGTGGTGCTGGTGGAAAGTTCAAACATATTATAAACATGAGTTAACAACCTTGTTATTGCAAGAAGGGAACACATTTCATTATAATTTTAACAAGTCTTTGTATGTTGTCATGTGGGTTGTTTCTGATATTGTGGCTCTTGAATCAAATGCTGTTTAGCAGGTGACTCAATTCTCAGTTTACAGACTGGGAGTTTCTCACCAGAGTCAATAACTCACCAATCAGCTGTGTTGCAATGATAATGTATGTTCCATAAAAGTAGCCTAAACCTTAGCCTACTATTCAGCCTGTTGGATTATTCTTCTCAAGTGCTATTGTATGGTCATGGTTTAGCAATACATAAAATAAACATCTACATTTAGTCCAAAACAGATAAAAGGACACTTGATTCTATTTGGCTAGAAGGTTAATTAATCATTGCCACTCTCTGAGTAATGCTTTTAGGCATGATTACAAGCTTTAAATGAATAGACAGCTAAAGCTGACAGTTCACAACCTTTATGTTATACACCTACACTTCTCTTGAATATAACGTATACTATTGCCTCATCCTACCTTAGATGCTCACTGCAATTTAGTTCAGGGGTTTTCAACTATTTGTTACCCTGACATGACCATTCCACTATTTTAATCTTGAAGGACACCTTTACCTTTATAAATGTTATATATTTGCATGAATTTGATTATTCACAATTAACACATGAAAATGTGTGTAATAAATATTCCTACAGTGAAATTACATTATTGAATATATGGTCAGGGACTGCTATGCCTTGGTGGACCACCAGGGGGGGCTGGTGAATCATGGCATCCACGCTGAACTTTTGGTAGGTTCACCAATGGCTTGTAACAACGCACCCTGTTATAACTACGAGCAGGTGCTTCTGCGCATGTACGAAAACTAAACGTGAATCTCTCCGTAGCGCGAAACGGCAAACAGGTCTGGAGGCGAACTCCTGAGTTGTGGTTGAAATTTTGTGATGAGAACGGTAATTTAAGAACAACTAACGTTACACACATATTTTGTTCACTTAATAGCCGAATGTTGTCAGTTATAGACGCCGCAATTTGCAGCAAGGTATAACCTTAGATATGACGGCGTTTAGCTAACATTTAATTGAATAGGAAGCCAAGTACCTTAACATTTTCCTAGCTAGCGTTGACGCATTTTATTAGCTAACAGTTGACAAGTTAACTGACGAACTTAATTGTATGGATAAACGAGTTTCCGTTTTTTCAAATGATTTATTTTCTTTCTCTGTCTTTCTTGTTTGTTGTTGCGGCTAGCTAGCTAAAGTTCATTTACCAATTTGCACAGATGCTTTCCGCTTTGCAGTATATTTACTCCAAGATGATTTCTCCATTGTGGAGGGAAGAAGAGCCGTATAGAGAAAGCCCGTTCCCTTGGGCACGAGGTGAATGCGCCATTCTTACAAAGTATAATCAGATTCAACCTACCCAGCTCAATCTTAGTGTGTTATGTGTCAAACACTACAGTTGCAACATATCGCTAACACGTTTGATGTCGTGTGTTTTGACCATATTTTTGATGTTGGCAGGCACGGAGTGCATGCAGCGTCTGCAGGACAGCGTGGTAACCCAGCTGTGCCTTGACTATGGCTTGATAGACGGTGCAATCTACTTCACTAAAGCAGAGGTGGCGGGCAGGACATCACTTAAAGAAGGGGACCACGTGAACTGCATAGTTGCACGAGATCGTGCTCAAGGGCGATGGAAAGCTATAAGGGTGAGGAACCTGTGTTTTGCTCCACTCTGATAATTATATTTAATGCACCTTGCTTCAGTTAATGTGTTGTGTTGTCATAAAATTGGACATGCAGTATTGTAATCCTGTCATTTAGGTGGAGAAGTGTGCAGATGATTGGGAGGGTAGAGGAATAGCTTCCTTAGAAGCTGACAGTATGCAGCTGCGGCTTCTAGTAGGCAAAGTCACATCATTTGATGGAAATGGTGGTTACATAAACCAGGCTACATACTTCTTAGGGAGCAGTCTTATGGAAGGTACTGTTCCGCTCTGTATTTACCTCCATATGTTGCCTACACTCACAATTGTCCCTTCAATCCCAGACAACAGTTTTCACAGATTTAACAGCCAGCTATATTTTTTTTACAGTTGATCTTTGATTAGTTCACAGACTGAATAGATTATATACTCACAGCCACATCAAAATTTATTACCAGCTGGCTGAAGGCTGATGTTAACTTCCCTGCTTGTTGGATCACTTGGTGTATTTTCTCTCCTTTCTTTCAGGTTATGAACCAATGAGAGGAGACTGGGTTGAAGCAAACTATTTTATTAATCCCACCTACTGGACCACCCAAGTTCATTCTGTAGCCCCTTTACGATATTGTCGCCTAGACCAGGTAATTACATTGTTGAACGGTTTAGGCTATACCCAGTCATTAAAATTGAGTTCTTTTCTTAGTACTTCATTTGTATGAAGTGTTTGTTCAGATAAAGTGTTAATGCTTAAAAGCAAATTTATGTCTGTCTAATCCAATTGGACATGATTAAAATCTTGTTTAGTGGTGGATCTAATGACTTTAACTCCTCTCCCCTCCCCCTGAATGATCCCCTGTCTCCAGGTGTGTGTGACCAGTGTGTATCATCAGAATGGAGTGGTGGAGGACAGTGTGTTCTTCAGCCTGGACTCTCTGCTGCTCCCTGCCAACTATCAGCCTTTGCCAGGACACCTGGTCAACCTGGTAATGGTGGAGAGCAGTCAGTCACACTTCAATTGGAGGGCCCTGTGCATGGCACCCTGTCTTCCTAGGTACAAAGACTTGTATATTATTAGGGCTGCAAAAAAGTTATTTTCATTATTTTTTAAGCTACCAATTAATTAGATTAATTGGTAGCTTGGGGGTGCCAACAATTTATATATGAAATGTCAAAACTAGTAAAATTCCAGTCACAGTATCCCTAATGTTATTCAGTTTACTGTGATGTATGGCAAAAAGAAGCATCAAACCCTCCTATTTGTGAGACTTGAACAGAAGATGTATGTTATTTATTGCTTGACAGTGATTAAAATTATTGATTCATCTCTCCCTTTGTCATAATCTAAGGCCAGTAATATTTTCTGTATTTTATATTGGATGACAATTCAAAAATGCAATGCTTTATTTATTTATTTATTTATTTTGGTAATTATTCTTGCAGTAGAAATACTTCTCCTACAGTTATCCCAGAGACCAAACTTCAGAGCATCTTGGAAAACAAAGAAGGGCTGGATGTAACAGATTATGGCCAGTTTGGTGATCTGGTGATGGGGGAGAAACGAGAGCTGGTGCTCTGGATTCAGTGAGTGACCAGAGAAGGAAGAAAACATTCACATTCAGACTGTAAAACTCAACTAATGCACTAGATAAAATGTCAGTTTAGTTCTTATGATTGGCATTAGTATTTTGTCCAAGTTTTCTGATACACATTTTCCCTCTCATAATAGAAATAAAGGCTCAGAGATACAGAGGTTGAAATGCTGTGGTTTTGCTGACTGGGACTCAATGGAACAGTTCACCCTGGTTACAGTCAAAGGGTCCACACCGCTCGTAAAAGAAAAGCGACAGTCAGGGTCTGAGAACTGCTCTGAGTCTTCAGAAGAACAAGTTGATGAAAATAAAGAAAATGGTGAAGCAGTGAAGGAGAAAATCCAATCCACTGGTGTGAGGAGAGTGAAAACAGAGCTGGATATTCCCCCAGGAGAGAGGGTGTCTGTTGTAGTAGCCTGCCAAGGAAAGTAGGTTACTTTTAAAATTCTTGTAGTGGCAGTAGTATAAATAACAGAAGCAGTTATTTGAGTAATGGATCTTAGAGATGAATTTGAAAGGTTTTTTTGGGGGGGTTTCATGGCTTGCCATATAAAATGAGGTCTACATATTGAGGTATCATCTGTCCTTGTGAAGCTCTTGTTAGTATGTTCTCTGTAGAGCTGATTTCCATGTGTGGGGATATTGCACAGGAGCCTGGGAACCTGTGCTGAGCTGCTGTTGCTGCATTTCTCTTCTTTCACCATTGGAAGGCACCTGGAGGTCACAGTGTGCAGCACAGAGGAGAATCTGCTGCAGCTCTCAGTGCCCTTCATTTTCAGTTGTCCAGTCTCAACAGTACCTACAATACCTGCTCGTGTGATCACTGTCTTAACTCCAAAAGGGCCACCTAGGTATACAAAGTGTTGACTTCATTAAAGCCTGAGGAAGAGTATTAAGGTTGAAAGGTGTTGCTTGTCTGCTTTTTGATAGTAGATACTAACCATTTTTACTCTGTTTACTCTTTGCACATGTGAATTTAAAGTTAATACTTTCACTTTTTGCATGCAAGTGGTTGTCTCTTTGCACTTGTCAGTATTCATATAAAGTGAAATAATGAATCAGTTGATCATGATTGTCTTTTAGATAAAATAGTTGAATGGATGATGCACAAATTTAACATAGCATAAAATTACAGTGTAACTGTTAGTTACTACTGGCCCTGTTCCTGTGCTCAGTTATCACATCTTGTTGACAATGCCTTTTCTACTTCTAGGCTAACCAGGCGGAAACTGCCAAACTTCCTGCCTAATTACCCAGTGCCCCAGGCTCTAAGGGACTGTGTGGAGTTGGGGAGTGATGTTCTGGTGATTCAGCCCTGCTTAGGAGAGGTTAGCATGTCCATGATGAAGTTTAACTCTTCATAGTATTATAAAAGTTGTACATTAAGAGTTGGATTAGGGCTGCTTCTACAACAGATGTGTTGATCTGTAGTGCATTTTGGGTAATAGTCTACTAATTTAATAGTTCCCAAATCAGGGCAAAAAAAAGCTTACTTTGTAACAAAAAGAGTGAACTTCTGGGTCACAACTGGGACATGATATTGTCACTGATCTACTGGTGTGTGAAGCGCTTCTCAGAATTTATCTTGGGAACTTAGATTTCTTTTACTTTCAACAAACAAAGCTGCTGTTTCCATTAAGATAAAATACTGTACTGTGTACATTATGGAGTAAGTTGTAAACACATTTTGTCATTACAAAACTGTGTCCCAAGGTTGATGCATCTGTAATTCTTTAGGTCTAAATCCTGGACCATTTTTAAAGCTGACATTTTTGTGCATATTTAAAAAAATGCTGTTCCATACCACTACACATGACCGGTCAATGTCAGTTGCTTCAACTAAGTACAAACTTCAGCTTTGAGTACAGACAAGGTAAACTGAAGGTCTGATTCATCTGTACTGATTGTCTTGACAAGACATCAGCCTGACATCTGTAGACAGCTGTTAGCTAGTGTCAGTTTCCCATCAGTGACAGACTGGATAAAGTACAATCCACACACTCTTAAGTCAACTTTCATGGCCTCACATCTTGTAGATAATCTCTTAAGAAAACACAAATGCAGAGCTCAGATGAGTATGCAGTGTCTTTTCTTGTGTACGCCTCTTGTAGATATGATCTCTCTTCTGTGCACATTGAAATAACTTGCTTCAGTGAAGTAGACATTTTTACACATCATGCAGTCTGATGTGAACCATTTACAACAAGTAGCCTCTGCATACGAGTAACATTTAGCTCACTTGTACATGTTTACTGAGATCATTCAAGGATCCAAATGGAAAGATTAATCTTGTGATTTCAAGATTTGATGTTTAATCACTCAAATAAGTATCACAATTGGAAAATTGATATTTTTATCCAGGTCTGCTAACAAACATTTAAACATGTTTTGTAATGGTGCGATCTTATTTGTATTGATTGATATCTTATTTTTGATTTTATCTGTATTAACTGATGTCTGATATTGGTGTTGATTTTATCTGTCCTTGTAAGTTGTTTATTTTTAACGTATATTGTTAATCACACTGTACAGCGCTTTGGTCCGTCTCGGTTGTTTCAGTGCTTTATAAATAAAGTTGGTATGGTATGGTAATTCAGTGCTCTTCCATTTGCAAAATTATCATTGTCACAACTAACATTAGTATCTAACATGTGACATTACCTAGCAAATTTTTATGTTTGATTAGAATAATATGTTTGCTAATGTGTTTTGCCTGCAAATGTCAGGTTTGTCATTTGAAGTGTGTGTTGTGCATTGTCTATGAATGGGAGCTGTGTATGTACGTTTGTGGGTGTGTGAGTGCAAGAGCCTTTCATAAGTTTAAGTTATAGTTATATTTATACCCTTTGATTTCATACTGTATGAAAATGGACGAGTCACGGTATGCAGTATTTATTTTTAGTCTACTGTTGTTGACTGCAGTTTTCACGTTTCCTTCTCCTGTATTTGCTTCCTCAGGTGCTGTCACCATCCAATTTGCGTTCACGTTTCTCAGCCCTTCTCTGGCTGGAAGAGCTGCATGCAGAGAAGGAACTGAGAGAATTCACAATCATTGGAGCCCTTCTCAGGAAAGGAGCCACCTACCTGCACCTTGAGATCCTTGGGTTGGGTGAAAGCAGACCTCACCTCAATAAAGGTGAGGGATGTGTCTTTGTTAATTATTGGTGAGTCATTGGAAAGGTTGATGTTTATTTTTTTATGTAACAAAAGTCTTGACAAATCTCTACAGGTGACAAAATACTGTTGAAGAAGCCACTGAGGGAAGGTGTTGTGTTGGAATGCATTAGTTATGTTGCAGAGGTGCAGAGATTTCTCATACTCAAAGCATCTTTTATGTTCTGTTAAATGAAAATAAATGCTCTTTGAATCTAATGCTTTGCTTTGACACAGATCAATGATGAGGATGTGAGTTTGAAAGTGAACTCTGAATTTCTGCACAGCTACATTGGAGAGCCGCTTGATGTTGAGTTCTGTTACAACACGTGAGAAAGGAATCTTAATATCACCTCAGTGATGCATTTATATTTCAATGGGATATAATGTGTCCTAAATGCTCCAATTGAGTTTGGTACTACAAGTATTGTTTGCATTTTCAGAGTGACCATGAGACGGTGTCACAAAGCACTTGACCAGACGAAACCTTTTGGGGAGAGTAAGTCAAGGTTTATTCAAATTGCTTTGCCTTTATAACATACATTTCTTGACATTTTACAGATTTATAATTTTCAAATGAGTCAATTCTGAAATTATATTTAAATAAAAAAAAAAACAGTCCATTCCTTATAAATACGGTGTATACTTCGATGGTTTGACATTTCTATTAGAGCTTAAATTTAAGAAAGATGTGAACATGAGGTGGTCTTTATTTCAGTGGTAAAGTAATGAGCTATATTGATAAACCATCATTTATTTGGAGGACACACATTGACAACGACACAGATTTGGCCCCAGATGGTGCTGTTTGTATCTTCTCTCACCCTTTCTGCCATAGTGAGGGGAAGTAACAAAGAGAATTGCCTCCAGGGATGAATTAAATATCACATTTGACTTTGCCAGTAGTATATGCTTGCTTAGTTGATTAGAATAATTTTGACAACCAAAAAGGCATAATCAGATATAGTATTAGAGCATGGTTCAGCAACCTAACATTCCAGCTGAAAAGTAGATTGGTAAGTATGCACAGAACATCCATGAACATTACAGGACTCAAGGAACACAAATCTATACAGAGCTTTATGAGAAAGCTGTCATAAAACAAACTAAAAAAACTGGGCAGACCTGCAGCATGCTCTTGAGTATGAACTGTTACCTTCAGGCAGAAGACTTGGGGAAAGCCAAAGTGGAAATCAAATCACCCGAAGCTGTCGCTTGTCCCAGCCTCTATTAAGTCGCTGAAACAAAATACAAATATTTCAGTATACGGATCTTTGGCAATACATACAGTCTCATGCAAAAGTTTAGGCACCCCTTGATAAATAACAGATTTTGGTGATTTTTTATTTGAACAGATGTTAACACAGTTTCTCTTGGAAATGGAATAAATGCACAATATTTTCAGCAAACAGTGATGCATAGTTACTTCTTATGCCATAAATTGAACAAAAATAAAAAATAAAAACATTATTATGGCATGGTGCAAAAGTTTGGGCACCCTAAGAGTTCCAGAGTCTCAAAGTCTCTCACAAGGTTTCAGACCTTAATCAGCTCGTTAGATCTGATGCACAGCAACAGCTGTCATTGGTAAATGCCAATTTCAAAGCTGTACAAATACTTTGACTCTTCAAACCTTGTGCACACACTTGCGGACACCCAGCAACCATGGGTTCCTCTAAGCAGCTGTGTAAGACCCTGAAAATGAAAGTTATTGATGCCCACAATGCAGGAGAAGGCTACAAGAAGATAGCAAAGCGTTGTCAGCTTGCAGTTTCCACAGTAAGAAATGTAATTAAGAGATGGCAGATCAGGGGAACTGTGGAGGTCAAGATGAGATCTGGAAGACCAAGAAAACTCTCGGACAGAACTGCTCGTATGCTGGTCAGAAAGACAAATCAAAACCCCCATTTGACTGCAAAAAACCTGCAGGAAGATTTAGCAGACTCAGGAGTGGTGGTGCACCGTTCCACTGTGCAGCGATGCTTGCACAGACAAGGCCTTCATGGAAGAGTCAGCAGAAGAAAACCTTACCTGCGTCCCCATCATATAATCCAACGTCTGAAGTATGCAACAGGACATCTACAGAAGCCTGATGCGTTTTGGAAACAAGTGCTGTGGCCTGATGCAGTTAAAATAGAACTCTTTGGACACAATCAGCAAAGGCATGTTTGGAGAAAAAAAGGAGCAGCATTTCATGAAAAGAACACCTTGCCAACTATTAAGCATGGGGGTGGATCTATCATGCTCTGGGGTTGTGTTGCAGCCAGTGGCACAGGAAACATTGCACGGGTGGAGGGAAGAATGGATTCCACTAAATACCAGCAAATTCTGGAAGCAAACATCACACCATCTGTAAAAAAGCTGAAGCTGAAAAGAGGATGGCTTCTACAACAGGACCATGATCCTAAACATACCTCGAAATCCACTATGGAATACCTCAAGAGACGCAGGCTGAAGGTTTTGGAATGGCCATCACAGTCCCCTGATTTAAACATCATTGGAAATTTGTGGGTAGATCTTAAAAGAGCTGTGCATGCAAGACGACCACAGAATATTACAGAACTAGAAGCCTTTTGCAAGGAAGAATGGGAGAAGATCCCACGTACAAGAATTGAAAGACTTTTAGCTGGCTATGAAAAGTGTTTGCAAGCTGTGATATCTGCCAGAGGAGGTGTTACTAAGTACTGATTGTGTAGGGTGCCCAAACTTTTGCACCATGCCATAATAATGTTTTTATTTTTGTTCAATTTATGGCATAAGAAGTAACTATGCATCACTGTTTGCTGAAAATATTGTGCATTTATTCCATTTCCAAGAGAAACTGTGTTAACATCTGTTCAAATAAAAAATCACCAAAATCTGTTATTTATCAAGGGGTGCCTAAAGTGTAAACTGTATCTTTGATAGTACTGTACTGTCAAGTGTTTTTAGTGTTGGTATCATTGTCTAATGTTTTATGGACAGTATGTTGTCTGATACATATTGTAACAAACTGTAGCACCATGGCCAAGACAGATTTCCCTTGGGGGACAGTAAAGTTGACCTTGACCTTATATGACATTTTTGATAGCTCTACACTGTACAGTTTACACTGCCTGCTTAGTTTACCTTTCAGAAAGAGAATTGCATTTCTGGTTTTTAATCTGAAGACCTTACAAACATTTTATGATGGTTTCTTTTAAAAGCAATCCAGTAAAACTAATAGCTGTCACTTTCACATTGTTGTGCAGTTCTCTTCCCCTCTAGAGTGACTCTTCAGACCCCTCAGTGGACAGGAAAGTGGATCGAGGAGCCAGAACAAAACAAAAGCATGGAGAACAATGAGGTGAAAAACAAAAATAAAATACATCGTCATTAAGTCTAACTTTTGATTAAATGTGATTGTATCTGAAATCCAGGCTCCAGCTGTGCAAGACGAAAAGATATCGAGCATTTCCGGTGGCATGAAGTCAAAGGCCACACAGACTAAAGGTACAGGTATTTGATTTCCAGTTTCATACAAGCCTTACCGCTGCATGCCACAATTGAGAGCATAAATAACAAATGTGTAATTGCTTCTAGATGGTCAAGTGCCATCTAAACCCATTCCTAGCAAAGGGCACTTTTTTAACCCCGACCTAAACCCCGCTCAGAGGGAGGCAGTGAAGAGGATTCTGGCAGGAGAGTGTCGGCCAATTCCCTATGTGCTATTTGGACCTCCAGGCACAGGAAAGACAATCACCCTCATAGAGGCCATACTACAGGTACATACACATAAGCACTATACAGTATACTTCTTAATTAGGGATTAAGAGGACAATCTAACTGGGACAACGCACTTTATTTTAACTATAATCTGTAGTAATATCAGTCCTGACTTTAAGACTGTTGGGTTTTTGGTCTAAGGTTATTGTAAAATAATGTATTCCTAAACAAATACATCCAACAAATTATAGGTTAGAAATATTGGATTTACTATCAGAGTTTATCAAACTAAAATATAAGTCTCATGTTATTGTGGATAAGGAAAACAAAGTAGTATGAAAACAAAGCAATTTAAGACTTGTCAATTTATCTTCAGTAGTGTGACCATGTCAGCATTAGGTCTTATGCCTGCCAAGCATTCTCCATTTCTGGTTTTTTTTCTTGAGTGACTTCATGAAGTGTTTCCACATCTAGGTTTACCACTTTCTTCCCAGTAGTCGGATACTTGTATGTACGCCTTCCAACAGTGCTGCCGACCTCATCTGCATTCGTCTACATGACAGTGGCTTCTTGCATGCTGCAAGTTTTGCCCGTGTCAACGCATCCTATAGACAAGAGGAGGTACTGAACAGCATCGGAGGAAGAAATTCCCTGTTCAGGCTACAGATAACTTAGTTTCCAGTGTGTATGATGAGAGGGAAAATAGGCAGGCTCCTGTGTGCAGTAAGGTCTGTATAGTTAACATTGCCACCAGACTGGGAGGTACAGGTGTCATTTTTTTTAAATAATGGATGTTTTCCTGTGATGCTTTGTCTGCATCTGCTTTTGGTGTATGGATTTATTATCTAAAACTTTGATGCCTTGCTAATGTGACCCACCCCAGACCATCCCAGAAGTGCTGAGGTCATACTCGAAGGCAGGAGAGGACATCCGCCATGCCTCTTTTCACAGGATTGTGGTTTGCACCTGCTCCAGCGCTGGCTTGTTCTATAATCTAGGACTACAGTAAGGCTTGGGTTATAGTATATGGCAAATAGAGGAAGTTAACACTTTCTTTCCCAGTTTAGATCAGTATACTAACTGGTTTGTGTTTCTCCAGAGTGGGGCATTTTACCCATGTGTTCCTGGATGAAGCTGGTCAGGCCACAGAGCCAGAGACTCTGATCCCCATTTGCTTTGTGTCCGAGAGAGATGGACAGGCCAGCATAATACACACAGACTACATTCAGATCTTAATGGCCACTGTTTTTCAAAAAGAGTGACTTGCCTGATCTTTATGATACATAACTTTTTTTTTACCCTTGTGTCTTTAGATAGTACTGGCTGGAGACCCCTTTCAGTTGGGTCCAATAGTGAAATCCAAGCTGGCCAATGCCTTTGGCCTTGGGGTGTCTTTGTTGGAGAGGTTGATGGCCAACCCACTGTATTCCAGACAGGACTCTGGGTACAACCCTAAACTGGTTGGTGAACTGCATACACAAAGAATTCCTATATGCCTAGACTGTGTGTTTATGTATAAATGGCAAATAAAAAATCTTGAAATAAAATGTTTTTTTTTTATAGCTTTTTTTTTAAGGTGTTATTTCAAAGTATCACATTGATTTTCATGCAGCTGCTGTGCTGCATGACATCTGATGTAGCATATTTAGCCATTTTTATTCTGAAATTACTGTTCCATTGGTATAATGAATTTATTTTAATACTATTGTTGAGCTCATAGAGGAATATACTGGAGAACACCTACGTGTGCTGTATGTATAATGAATAACTTTTTTTTTCATTACTACAGGTGACTAAGTTGATCTACAACTACCGTTCTCATGAGGTCTTGCTCACACTGCCTTCCAGGCTATTTTACCAGGAGGAACTGTGTTTTAAAGCCCCCAGGGACATAGTAAACTACCTCTGTGAATGGACACGCCTGCCCAAAAAAGGCTTCCCTCTCCTCTTTCATGGTATCAGGGTAATGAAGACTTGTAAGAAATATACATGTGCTCTTAACCCCTCTCACATGGTGTAGAATCAGGCTTATTCTGTTTCACAGATTGCATCAGCACTGAGTTACCGGGTTAATAATTGCAGCTGATCTTTGTGGGCATCATAATGTGTACCAGGATATTCAGCTGCCAGATATTATCCTATGATTTTACTCTGCTTTAGGGCAGAGAAATGAGGGAATGTCACAACCCATCATGGTTCAACCCAGTGGAGGCTGTACAGGTCATGTTCTACTGCTGCCAGCTGGCCAAGAAGCTCTACAACCCGGTGGATGCCTCTGACATTGGCATCATTTCTCCCTACAAGAAACAAGTAAGCTTGCACAGTCGAGCTGAGTAATGATTTTTTTTTTTTGTCTTTAGTAGAATGCAAAAAAAACCCACCCAACAAAAACAAATGTGATTTAAAATTTTACCCCGATGTAGTGTAAATGGCTTTTAAGCATGTAGTTGGTCAGCTTTACATATGTTATGCTCTGAAGTGTCCTTGTTTCCTATGAATCTCCAGTGTGAGAAGATTCGACTGCTGCTAGGTAAAGTTGGCCTTTCTGACGTCAAAGTGGGCTCTGTGGAGGAGTTCCAGGGACGAGAGTTTCTGGTCATCATCTTGTCTACGGTAGGCAAAAACATTTTGGGTAAGTGAAGGAACAAGTTTTAGGTAGAGACGTGTCACCTCTCATCCAAGAGGTTTCATCAGTTCTGTCTGACTGGTGGTGAGCAGGAGGTATTTATCCCACTGGGTGGTGTTGCAGTCCTTTGATGGTCAACAATGTCCTTTAACGACTGAGTCCAGATGCCTTCTAAGTTTTTTCAGCAGTTTATTCTATATAATGGGAATTTCTCAGTTTATTCCATTCTCTTATAATATAGGTGCGCTCTAATGAATCAGTCCAGATTGACGATTTGGAAAGCACACTCGGCTTTCTGGCCAATCCCAAGCGTTTCAACGTGGCAGTCAGTCGTGCCAAAGCCCTGCTGTTAGTGGTTGGAAACCCCCATGTTCTCATTAGGGTAAGTGACAAAACATTAAGTTTAATCCTAGGTTTTCTAAGATGTTTTTGTTGAGTCTAGTGTTGCTATACAGTACATTCTGACTATTAAGTACTATAAATGTCTTTCCAGGATCCATGCTTCAGGGCTTTACTCCACTATTCTTATATCAACGGTGCATATCTGGGCTGTGACGTCCCTCCATCACTGAGAAGCTCTTAGATGTATGTCTGTTGATCATGTTTTCATCATACAGTCTTTGCTTATAGTGAATATTATTCTATTGTCATTATAAAGCTATACAGATGGCATCTTGCAGTACTGCTGCCAAACCAGTGTATGCATGACGTATGTTCTGTCCTCTAATTCAAAGGAATTTGAGCTGTAAATAATCATAATTAGTATTGCAGGATATGGTTCTTATTACCATTGCTAACTCTAAGAGATGAGACAGTCCAAGTAACTTCAAAACAGTGCTGATTTATTCCATGAACACAGGTAAAAATTAACAATACACCCTCAGGCATCTTGCACCTCCAAACTGCTCGCAGGCAGATGTAAGATGAAAGACCCTGAACCCACCAGGCCTATACATTATATCTCCTCGGTTGGGCTAGCCCCATCCTACACAGAAACGTCAACCGAGACGTCTCTGTTACCAGCTTTGCAGCTGGTCATAGCAGTAGTCAAAACATGAAGCAAATCAATGTGTGTGTGTCTGTTGATTAAGTGGTGTGTAACTAAAAACATTCTCACAGACCTCTAGTACATGTCGTGACTTAAACATAAGAACATATTATAGCTAAGGCTACAGTTATACACGTCATAATAATAATAATATTAACCATCCTGTCTGCTGACAGTCATCAACTCTGCTCTCTAGTTATCCTTGACCAGATGTACCCTGTAGAAACTCATAAGCATGACTAAGCATTTAACAGTCTAACTAGACATCCTATCTCCACTAAACATTTCTAATACATAAAGTATCTATCTGACTAAAAATACCTAACAGTATTATTATTGTTATTATTATTAAACTTGATGTAGCAATTATTTAGCATACTTTATGAAACTGAGAATACACACAAGCTAAAAATGACTACTCAGAACATTAACAGCCTTATTTTAATCATTTGGTCAATAATAAACCAATCTATTTTTTTTCTCCCACAGAGTTGCAGAAAAACAAGAGGACAAAAGATGGGTTTCTTCAGTTATGTTAGGCTGATGGTTTTATGGTGGTTTTTTTTCCCCATTTCACTCTGTTCATTGCTCACCAGTGTTGTTCACAGTACCTTTTACTGTAAAGCTCTTAATAAATGTTAACTGAATTGGGTTAAAGAGAAGTTTCTTAATCCTGTGAAAGCCAAATGTTCCCGGTGGCAGGAATAAAGTTGATTCTTGTGTACGTTGCACAATTATTTCTCTGTCCTGTGATTATTAAGATGTAGTTCTTCACTGTTCAAGATTTTAAATTTCAGCTGTCACAGATTATGGGTAGATTATTGCGTCATTGCTAGTAAAATGTTTTGCATAGCCTTGGTCTTTTTTTTAACGGCATAAAGGACCAGTTGCTTTGTTTCAGCTCTGTTGAGAAAGAGAAATTAGATACAAGACAGTACTTTGACTTCTAGTATTGCCCTTGTTTAGCATTCTGAGTCGAGCCATACATGTCTGCAGTTTTCAGGGGCAAGTTGTTTGCACACCTCGGTGTGGCAGTGTCTGCCCACAAAGACTGGAGACTGGACGTGACAATTGAGTGCTACTGACAGTCTGCGCAGGGAATAACAGTCCCATTGGAGCCCAGCAGGATGGAGGGAGGTGGTAGGGTTGGGGGTGGGAAAAAAAAAAAGTGAGGGGGGGGGGGGGGTTTAGTCTCTTAAGTTAATGTCTCGTGCAGGGAGGTGACTGCTTTTATCTGGCTTCACTGTGACAGGGGAGCCCAGCTCAGACTTCCAGGCCCCCCTCCATTCATTCCCAAACACGTCTCCGTCTTTGATGTAGGTCTCAGGTGTTTGTTCTGCTGTCCCACTCTGTCAGTGAGGACCGTACTGTAGAGAAGAGAATGCCACAAACGGAACTTAATCTGTTCACATGACTTTGAACAATTATTTTAGAATCTACTATGTATCTTTGCAAGCGGAATATTGGCACAATAATATGGTGTTCAGGTGACGGATTTTAAAATTGGTCTGTAGCACTACTGTTGTAACTGGCTTTGTTCTCACAGGCTATGAGATATCCCTTTAGAGTAAATTCAGCAGAGATGCACATAAAAGTCAGAAAAAGGAGAGGAAAAATGAAGGGGATGGTTTGGCACCTTCAGCACATTTTTACAGTTGTCTGTTTCAGTCTGTCTGAACTGTCGGTGATGGACAGACTAACAGCTCTGGAGAAGCTGGTGATGAGCTGCCAGGAGAAAGATAGAATCGGTGTGCTGAAAGATATCGCTCAGTCTTGCAAGAAGATCCAGGAGCTCAAAGAGAGTTGGAGAGCAAGACTGCTCTTCAATAAGCTTGCTGGAGAAATGTCCAGTACCACCCAGGAGTCTGTCCTCCAGAACAACACAACTCCTCTGCAAAGGAATCCATCAGATGCCACAAAACCTAATAAGCAGCAGGCTGTAGTCCAGTCCCTACAAGTGTCCCAGCTGCAGCATCTTCAGCAGCTTGCAGTCATCAACAGTCTGTCTGCGTCAAGAAGAAACGGCTTCCAGACCAGGTTGCGTGTCCAGACTGTAAAGAGAATATAATGGAGACAAGCTGGGAGTCGCAACTCGACACATCTGTGATCAAGCAGTCCAGGCAGAAAATCCTGCAGGCTCTCAACACTGGCTCCTTCAAAGAACTGAAAGGTTTGCAGCAGACTGGTGTCAAGGAGGCAAAGCTCATCCTGGGTTGGAGAGAGATTCATGGTCACTTCACAAAGTTGGAAGATCTAGTAAAAGTTGAGGGTATGACAGAACTGAGATTTTCTTCCTTCATGAAGGCAAACAGCCTGAGTGCCATGGGAAAATTATTTTTTCAAATCACACTCATTTTATATATAAATATATATCTCTCTATATACAGTGCCTTGCGAAAGTATTCGGCCCCCTTGAACTTTGCGACCTTTTGCCACATTTCAGGCTTCAAACATAAAGATATAAAACTGTAATTTTTTGTGAAGAATCAACAGCAAGTGGGACACAATCATGAAGTGGAACGAAATTTATTGGATATTTCAAA